TGTTAGATCAGTACAAGTGAGGGCTTGATCAAGCAGTTTTACAAACATATGTTGTTCATTTGCCATGCGAATTTCAGAGGGAAGACTGTTCCATATCAATGTATACTTAATGAGGAAGAAGTTTTCCCGAGTTTTTGGTCTGTATTTCTCAACCTTGACGGTAGATACTTTGTTTCGAAGTTCCTATTCATGTGAATCCCGGGCAAGAGCTATCTTACATGTTGAATAAGTAAGGTCTTTGAGTCGTTTGAAGTAGAGAATCAAATTAGACTTAGGCCTTCTCTTCCAAAAAGGTTCTGTTCTTAAGATTTAACATCGGGAATTGTAGTCTGACTGAGTCAGTCTTAAGTACTTTGCAGGTGAAGTGTCGTAGTATTCCTTCCACCTTTAGTATATCAGATAGGAGTAGGTTGGAAAATAAGAACGAGCAGTATTCAACGATATGTCTTACACAAACTTTATAAAGAAGGACTTTAGATTCATTTTGATAGAAGTTACGGAGAATGAAGCCAAGCAATTTCCGCATTTTAGATGCTTTTCTCTGTGTTAAGCTCTGACCTCCAGCGCTTGCACCAGTCGTCTACCATGTTGAGCTCGTGCTGGATTGTTTGCATAGTACTGCGTAAATCGCAAATGTCAGTTTTATAGATGACTTTTAAGTCATCGGCATAGAAGTAGGTCTTACCTGTGCTAAAACACTTGCATATATTGTTGATGTAGATTATAAAGAGCAATGGACCCAAGACACTACCCTGAACAACACCACTGGTTATTGGTCGAGGTGTAGATGTATTAGAGTTAATCTTGGTTATTTGATATCTGTTCGTAAGAAACGACTTGATCCATTGCAAAAGGGGATTTACAATTCCAACTGACTTAAGTCTGTTGATTAGAAGATCAGGAGGTACTTTATCAAAGGCCTTCTTAATATCGAAATAGAGTATAACCACTAGTTTCTTCTGGTCACGTATGCGAGTAACCTCGTTAAAGAAGTCTTTCAGACATGTACTGCACGACCTTGTTCTAATGAAGCCGTGTTGTGACGAGTCTATTAGGTCTTCCTTCAGCAGGTGATCAGATAGTTGATTTTGTATCACTTTTTCCATTATGCGTAATATAACTGGAGTGTTTTATTAGAAATCGAAAGTCTTCCTAGTCAGAGTTTGCATAATCCCTATATTGGAATCGCGTGTTTAATGTCTCTAATTTGTTGCACATGGCAAGAATCGGAAGGTTGCAGAGAACTATTTTATGATGGCTGTTGTGAAACTTTTCGCAACCACCATTGATGTTGGTGTGACATTTTGACAGGATATCAAGTCAAGAATATTGTGATTTCGTGTGGGCAGGTGTACATGTTGTTGCCAACCGTGTATGTCTAAGGACCTAAGTATGCTTCCAAAGCACATTGAGCCAGAATATGTCGTCGAGTTGATGGTGGGAATGCTTAAATTACCACATACATTTTTGCAAGTGAAGTCAAGCGAGGCAGCCTGAGCAAATGACTCACTTATAATAGTGTCAGTTGAACTAGGAGTGTTAGGTGCTCGATATATGCATCCGATTAGTATTTTACATTCATGGATGTGCACAGTAAGCCATACCGAATCAAGAAGTTTGCCGAGGACGTGGTCGCTATGGATTTCCACTCTCAATTTTTTTGTTACATAAACAATACAACCACCACCCTTCTTGGTGACTTGATCACAGAGGAAGAGCTCATAGGTGTCTATTTGTAGATATGTGTCTGTGGTATCGGAGGACAGCCAACTTTCCGTTATCAAAACAAGTGAGAGGTTGTTTAAAAGTATTAGTTTGCGTAGGTGAGTCATCTTACTTTGTACAGATCGAGCGTTGATTAACATAAGTGTCTGGTACGGTGAGTGTTTGTCTAGTAGAAGGGTATGATGTCAACCCAGTGGATTGTCTGTTTTGCCATGAGAAAAGGAAGAATTGGGAGCGTCGACTCCATATTGATGAGCGTTTAGTTTATTACCAATGGGGTTAATGCGAGAAGAGTAGCCTGGTGTTGTTTTGGTGAAAGAAGTATGTCTAAAGTGAAAGGTAGAGTTGAATGGTTGGGTAGTGTGTTCGGGGAGTGATCAGAAGGTTCAGTCAAGGAGCTTTTGAGACTAGAGACAGTTATCGAAGTTGAGAAGAATGTACCACTCGGCATTAGGTGGAAGTATATAGATGGTCTCAGAATAGTGGGATTGTCGCCCTCAACATTTGGAGACCTCATAGCAGCACTGTTGAGGGGAGAGAGATAAAAATAAGTAAGATGGTGCATGTGTCGAATTAGGGGGGATTAAAGAGTTGTATAGGATGGCTTGGCTTAGTGTCTAGAATCAGGAGGTGGGCTCCCGAGTAAGCCAATGTTATGACCTTCTTCGTGTGCGGTGGGCAATTTTGGTCATATTATGGGTAGTTGTGGAAGTTGTATGTTTCTGGTTAACATTGAGGCATTGCCATATATTGCTGTTAAGAGAGGAGTTCGTAATTTGTGTGACGTATTGGTTCCTTGAGCTTGCAAGGTTCACACTATATGGCTTACTGGCATTAGGTGTAGGTGTGGTTCTTGTCGAGTGTCTTTTCACGTTAGGATGAGTGGGTACTGCCAGTTCACCATGTTTGTTGTAGGGCATTCTACTGCTGTGAAAAGGTGCATGTTTTGGTTAGGGGTGTCGGAGTATTGGTGGGTTTTTACAGAGAGTTTGGTATTATTTCGTACAGCGGTGTCTGAGCGTCTGTAGCTGTTAGCGCAATTCCTGAGAGGATCATTTGTAGGCTTTTTATCGGGGCCGCTAGGGCAATACTTGGACGCTATTGAGGCATAAGTGGATTGGCATTTTGGGGTAGCTGAGTGTTTGGGCCTATGGTGAGTGGCTGCAGCTGCTTTATATGCGGTCTTGTTCTTAGGAATAATAGCAGCATCCGACGTGCCTCCGTTTTTTAGAGGGGCAGTGTATGGTGTTTTAGGATTAGTACGGTAATAAGTCTTGGATAGTTTGGGTGAGGCTAAGTTCTGTTTGGCTACTTTTAGATCTACCAGTGGTGAGATTATTGGAGTTTATATCAAAATTTTTAAGGTCGATATAGTTGCATACAAACCTGTTGCAGGTGTCTACCGGGTGGTCACTTTGTGCATACTTAGTTGGGAGATGGGGTATATGTCTGGGTGAAAGTCGAGATCTACATCATCGGGCTGGCTATTGTAGGCAGGCTCACATGTACTTCGTGGGCCGCTACTCAAGATGGCCGGTTGCAAAATTGTTGGGTGTGTTGGGTCAGCCGCACTGTCTAAATACTGCTCACAACATGTGATGCTTTTGTTTGGACTGACAAATGGTGTCAACTCTAACGGTATACGACTGCTCTTATTTATATCTACAAGCGAGATAAAAGGTAGTAATATGTCTTGTCCACGTAAAGGGTGCACGTTTAGTGTAACTGAGGGAAGATCAGAGTAGGGTGCAGACTGATCAGTGTGTTTATAAGGTTTCGAATAATTCGTTTTAGTGACTGATTTAGATCTTTTGCAGGTGCTATAGGCATCAGGAGAGATTTTATGTTTTTTAGATAGCCTGGATATTATTGGAAGTAATGTAAATATAAAGTTTAATTAAGTGGAAAGCGACAGTTATAATTTAACTTAATAGACGTGTGAAGTTCTATGGTAGGATCAGATCCAGTTTTAGTTAACAGTAAATATAATAATGTAAGTTAGTGAAAAGAGATAATAATAATAATTTCGTCTCAAATAACAGTTTGTTACATGATGCATGCAGTTTACAGGCAAGATCGAATTTATACAAATGATACACTATCCACTGTAGTAAATTAATTAGCTGGGTTGATCATTTTTAAGATATGAATGTAGATGGTTTTAAGCAGTTCTACAGTTAGCGCGCTTCATGGAAGTTGCGTTGCGAATGTGCGACTGATGGTCAAGGATAGGTCCATTGAAGGTATGAGCTTCTAGAAATCGCAACCTTATGTCCCTTTAGAATATCCAAGGCTTTAAGGATGGTGCAGGATGAAGTCACCCGTTCCATATCTCGAGGGGGCTGAAAGAGGGAGCAAGTAAAAAAAACACGAGAGGCAGAGTAGCCAATATTCTTGAAGGAATGCTTAAGGTATGATTACTCAGTCTAATTTTCTTTTATTAAGGTATTTGTTAAGAAAGAGCATTTTAATAGGTTAAAGAAAATAAGTGTTAACAAGGTGTGAGTGGACATACAACTGACTAATGGAGGCGATTCGGAAAGGAGCTGAGAGTATGGGATTATATGTGATTATAAAATAAAATATAGTGCTAGAAACAGTATTGTGATATACAATTGGCTATCTTCCTTTTATTATCGAAGCTATTAGAGCCCCTTTCGTTTTTTTTGTATTATTATTTTTTTCAGGTATTATAGGGTCTTGATTAGGCTTCGTATATTAGCGAATTCTCTAGTTTGCTTGTAATAGGATTTCTGGGTAGAAAGTAAAACCAATTCAACGTTCGTAACACGATTTAATGAGGTATTTTGCGTGATAAATCAGCATCAATACCATAAGTTCGTGACATTCCACTAGACCATAAGGAGCCGTAATTAAACAAAATGTTCTGCCCTACAGACATGGGTGGATTGAAGTTATCTCCCACCTTCATGTTTGCTGGTCAGTAACGCCACCCTCCCTCCTTTTGTGATGTTAGGCTCTCTTACGTTTGTGGTAAGTATGAATACTGCTTTAATCAAAGCCCATAGTTGGAATACACTGTCTCTACTAGGTCCATGTTACAAGCAAATCAGATAGTTGAAAAGTCTTTTTTTGGGTTAGATGTCCATATAGTATATCACACTGCTATGAAAATAACTAATGGTTTTTGTAGTGACTCACATTTATCACGAGAACACGACTGGTTTAATAAAAACAATTATTATTATAACCAACTGTACCAGTGTTTGTTTTAATGTGCTTTTGTTTGACTGTGCTAATGACAGCTATATTTTGATTCCATTCTTATACTCACACTTTGATTGTAACTTCGCGCGAATTCGGTTACGTTCTATAACCAAGCTTGTATTCTGGCACGATCTCGGTATCCTTTCGATGCCACGAGATCGCCAGCGAACACATCTCGATTTGGTCCATTAACTGTCTTCTGATATTTGGCTTCTCGGTGATTTTATGGATTTATTTGGTTACGTCCAACCTTCGCCTTCTGATTAACTCGGCACGTGTTTTTTTGGTAGCGGTGTTCATAGTTAACCTCAACTCGACGCCACGCTACAATTGGTGATCCCAAAGTTTGGAACACGCCTCAACCTCGGGTCAAATCTTCCAAAGAAGTCAATTTGGTGAGTCTATTATTTATCTATCCACGTCTGTCGTATATTTTCATATTAATTTTTAATATATAATATACACGACATGACGGATAACGATAAGAATACTATTAATGTTATAGACTCAGACGTACAGGCCATTCATTTTCGACCTGTATCATTTATCCCCCACGACCCTGAGGTCTGGTTTGCTGCTTTAGAGTCTCAGTTCGAGACTCGTCGCATCACGAGCCAAAGGCAAAAATACGCCTACGCTCTCGAGTCATTACCCGGGGACCATTTAGTAGCTGTTCGTGAGGTTGTCCTCAATTCTAACGTGCCTAATGTTTATGACCGCCTCAAGGAGGCAATTCTCCGACATTTCCTCCCATCGAGGGAGGAACGATTGAGGACCCTGTTAGCACGTCACCCCCTGGGTGACGCTAAACCAAGCCATCACCTCACGCGCCTGCAATCTCTTGCAGGACCAACAGCATCAGACTCGGAGATAGTCAAGGAATTATGGCTCGAGTCACTACCAGCCCATATCCAACCTACTGTGACGGCACTGCTCGAGGACTCACCGCTTAACCAGGTAGCCCTCATAGCAGACAAAATTTTGGCGAGGACTAGTAATAGAGACACCTATGTAGTCGCTTCGACGGCACGTCCTAATGTAGACATGGACGCCGGTCATTCCACAGCTCATGGTGACAGGGCCGGGTGTATTCACACACGTCTTAGTTTTCGAGATCGCTGTAACGTACCCCAACCCTACGTCCCCCGAGCTCGCTCAAGTTCTCGCAAACCCGTCACCACTCGCCCAAAAAGGGCATCTTCCAGGCCACGCCGAAAGGCGGCTACGGAAGCGAGTGACAGTTGGTGCTGGTTCCATAGGTCCTTCGGGTCTGGCGCCCGCCGTTGTCGAGCACCATGCTCATACAAGGCGGGAAACGCCAGCGCCGGCGAGTAAAAGCGGCCGTACTCGCCGGCCCTTTACCCCAGGTTGGTCGCCTATTCTACGTGCACGATTACCGCACGAACGCTAGGTTCCTAGTAGACACTGGGGCCCAAGTTTCTGTCGTACCACGAGGTAGCAGCAAGTCACAAGCCACAGTGCTTCGACTACGCGCTGCGAATGGCTCAGTCATTCCTACCTACGGTACACGACAACTCGCGGTCAACCTGGGCAACCGACGACGGTATCTGTGGACGTTCATCATTGCTGATGTTCCCACAGCCATACTAGGTATCGATTTTCTACAGCACTATGAATTGCTTGTCGATTCACGTAGGCTGCAGCTAATCGATACTTCGTCGAACAGCAAATTCATGGGCTGTAAAGCCCACATGAACGCGTACCGAATCCTGGGCACTTTTTATTCGCGTGACGATAAATTCCACGCTTTATTCGAGAAATTCCCCGTAATCACTAAACCACTCGAGGAGCTTCCATCGGTGACCAATCGTGTGGTACACCACATAGTCACCCGCGGACCGCCAGTCACGGCACGACCTCGCCGACTGGCACCGGACAAATTAGCTTTTGCTAAGCGTGAGTTTGACAATTTACTAGCTACTGGTATTATTCGTCCTTCTCACAGTCCATGGGCCTCTCCTCTACACATGGTGCGCAAAAAAGATGGGGTTAGTTGGAGACCATGCGGCGACTACCGAGCTCTAAACGTAGTTACGCGCTTTGATAGCTACCCCATCCCCCACATACACGACATCACGGCATCGCTCAAGGGCACGACTATCTTTTCTAAGATCGATCTGGTACGAGCATATCATCAGATCCCAGTCGCTCTTGAAGACATCGAAAAGACTGCTATCACGACTCCTTTCGGTTTGTTTGAGTTCCTACGAATGCCATTTGGATTACGGAATGCTGCTCAAACTTTTCAAAGGTTTATCGATAGCATTGTACGAGACCTCGATTTTGTTCACGTCTATATTGATGACCTGCTAATCGCATCATCAAACGTAGATGAACATTATCAACATCTTACGCTATTATTCCAACGCCTTTCGGATAATGGAATAGTAGTTAACCCAGACAAATGCGAGTTAGGTAAACGAGAAATCATATTTCTGGGTCATGTTATCAAGCAAGAGGGTATTCTACCTTGTGAGGACAAAGTGCAAGCAATAAAGGAGTACAACGTGCCGTCCTCACTCAAGGAACTGAAGGCTTTTCTCGGTTTGGTTAACTTCTACCGTCGTTTCATCCCACACGCGGCAGAACGGTTACGACCACTAACCGACTTACTACGCGGCAACCCACGCAGATTGGAAATGAACGATTCTGCACGTACTGCATTCACTGAAATCAAAACGGCTCTTGCGCAAGCCACTCTTCTCGCCCATCCCGATCCATCAGCCACGCTTAGTATAGCGGTTGATGCATCCGATGTTGCTATAGGAGCAGTCATGCAACAAAACATCTCCGGTAGTTGGCAACCTCTCGAGTTTTTCTCACGACGCCTCACTACCACGGAGACGAGATATAGCGCTTTTGGTCGCGAGCTGCTAGCAGCCTACTGCGCTATCAAACATTTTCGGCACGCAGTAGAAGGACGTCGATTCATTTTATTCACCGACCATAAGCCCTTAACGTATGCTTTGCATACCAAGTCTGACCGCTACTCACCACGAGAGTGCAGACATTTGGACTATATCTCCCAGTTCACGACAGACCTTCGTCACATCCAAGGCAAGTCGAACTGTGTTGCCGATGCTCTATCACGAATCCAAATGAATGCAGTTACCCTGCCGGTGCTCGATCTTCCTGCTATGGCCGCTGCCCAAGCAAACGATCCCAGCTGTACAAAAGCACCACACTCTACGTCCCTTCAGTATCAGGAAGTACCTCTAGCCACGACTTCTGGCACCATTCTATGTGATACTTCTACCGGTTTTCCTCGACCCATCGTACCCTCTGCTTATCGCCGTCTCGTTTTCGATGCCCTGCATGGATTATCTCACCCAGGTATCGCAGCTACATTACGCCTCATCGCTGCACGATACGTCTGGCCGTCCATGAATAAAGATGTTCGTATGTGGGCTAAGCAATGCTTACAATGTCAACGATCAAAAGTGCACAGGCACGTAGCCGCCCCCCTCGGTACATTCGCTACGCCTGATGCTCGCTTCGATCACGTTCACTTAGACATTGTAGGACCACTGCCACCATCGCACGGGTATGATCACATACTCACGTGCATCGACCGCTTCACCAGATGGCCCGAAGCTATACCCATCACGTCTATCACGGCGGAGACAGTTGCTCACCGCTTCGTAGAACGATGGATAGCTCTATATGGTTGTCCCTCGACTGTCACGACTGACCGAGGACAACAATTTGAGTCCGCACTATTCTCCTCACTTACTCGGCTGCTTGGTACGGAACGAATACGCACTACCGCCTACCATCCAGCTTCAAACGGTTTAGTTGAAAGGTTTCACCGGCAACTTAAAAGTGCTCTTCGAGCACACGAAAACGACGACTGGTACGAAACCTTACCGCTCGTTCTTTTAGGTATCAGAACGAGCTTAAAGGCAGATATCCAATGTTCCGCCGCTGAACTTGTATACGGCACGACATTGCGTCTGCCCGGGGAATTCTTCACACCACGGAGCAGACCTAATTTCGCTAAATCAGACTACGTCCAACGACTGTCTGCATTTATGCGAACGCTGCCTCCGGTGTCAACTCGAATACAACATCGACAGGTCGCTCTCCCTCGAGAGTTATCTACCTGTTCACATGTTTTCATACGAGTAGATTCGGTACGCAAACCTTTGCAACAACCTTACGAAGGCCCTTTTCGCGTGATCGCTCGTCACGAAAAGACCTTCAAGGTTGATCGACACGGCCGCGTCGAGATCGTCAGCATTGATCGTCTCAAACCAGCACACGTCGATGACAGTGCCCTATCTGATAACCTGAGATTCAATGCTAGACCAAGCAAACCTACTAGCGGGATCCTCAAACCATCTTCAGGTCCCACGCTAGATACACCTGAGACCTCACTCTCACGTCCCAGTCAACAGCACGCGTCATCTGCACCGTCTACGGACGAGACGACAGTCTCACGTCCAGATCAGCAGACCACGCCGCCCTTGACTTCGGATGAGATTGCAGGCTCACGCGACGCGAACGAGACTACCGTCTCACGTTCCGGTCGCCGAGTACGGTTACCCGTACGCTTCCTCGACTAGTCGCACAGTCAACAACCGATACGGTGTAGGAATATTCCTATACTACACGCATGCTACACTCTTCTCTTTTTTGCTTTTTTGTTTCCTGAGCCCACGCCTTCGATCATCTCCGTTTGGTTCCGTCGACTTCAGTCAACTTTGGCGAAAGCTGGATTGGCCACCCACGCTTTTGTCAACGCACTCAGTCGATATATTGGTTTCGAATGCTTGGCATACGCTTGGTCTCGAACTTGGTCGTTATGGTCGCTTCTGGTCTCTTAGCTCAACGTGGTTTCGTCCTTCGTCTGCAGCGTTTCTGGTCCGCTTCCCTACGAATGAAATGTTCAGATTCTGGATACAAACCACTCTGGTGTGGCATGCCAACTCAAGCAATAAATACAGCACATCGCTCCTGGTACCGTTCTCTGAAAACGACCTTCGTTGGCAACTCGACGATCAACGATCGCTTTCCTGTTCGCCAATTCCTCCGTCCTACAATCGCTCGTCAGCCGATCAGTCCCACGATTCAAACCGCATTTTATCGAAAGTGTAAACCCTTTCTAGCGGGGGGCTCCTGTAGTGACTCACATTTATCACGAGAACACGACTGGTTTAATAAAAACAATTATTATTATAACCAACTGTACCAGTGTTTGTTTTAATGTGCTTTTGTTTAACTGTGCTAATTATAGCCATTTTGTGCTTCCATTACCTTCCATTATTGTTCCGCGGTTTTTGGTACTGTTCGCACGTACTCCTGTCTTCTGCTTCCACTTGTACCACTTCTTGGCACGATCTCGGTATTCGTTCAATACCACGAGATCGCCAACGAAATAAATCTGGTTACGTTCGATCCTCGCCTTCTGATTTATCTGGCACGTGATTCTGGGTAGCGGTGTTCGCAGTTAATCTCAACTCGACGCCACGCTACAGTTTAAAGAAGTAAGGACTAATAGCAAATCAAAAGATATGAGAGGGTATAAAATTGTAGAAAGAAAAAAAAAAAGATTTCAGGGTAAGACAAATAAAACATTGAGAAACTCACAAGACTTTGTGGCCAAATTTTGAGCTTTGTATGATCGGCCTTAGTAGATCAGCATCCATAAGGTTGAGCTATCTGTCTACTTGCAGTAGAAAAAAAAACATGACTTTTAGGAAGAATAATGTACATTTAACCTGTAGAGATTTGGGAACTGAAAGCTAGGGTTAGGAGCATGAAGTCATGATTAATAAACAATGAATAATAGGAAAGGATAAGCCATATATTCTGTGATTTGGTTATATTCATATTAGTAACAGTCGAACTTGTTATAATTTTGTTCTTTCTAGATACTAGGCGGTCCGTAATAAAGTGCCTCATTGGTGGGCGGGAGTTCAAGGAAATGTTGAAGCTCTTTGGAGTCTAGAAATAGGGTTATTAGCTTTTTGAATCTGGTAAACGTATCACAGTTACGGATAGGCATTGGCAGCCTGTTCCACAATAAACTGTACCGTACTGTAAAAAACTTACAACGCATTTGTTTTTGGTGTTTTACGGTAAGTAGTGTATATGCGTTGTTTCTAAGTCTATAGGCTGGGTCGTGGGTGATAGTCGGGCAGGAGGTTAGAAAGGAGAGCCCATATATCGCTTTGTAGAGAAATATTAAATTGTTTTTTAGCCTACGGTGCCATAAAGGTTCTAAAGATAGATGCTTACATCTTCTGTGTAATCGAGATTCGAGTTACATCCTAGTAGTTGACGTGTGAAACGTCTTTGAACATCTTCTACTCTTATCTTGTCTGCGATATTCATATTAGAGAAGACAAAAGAGCAGTATTCAAGGGAGGGTCGTACACATATTTTGTAGAGAGTAAGTTTACCCTCTGTTGTGAAAAAGTTTTTCATTATAAAACCAATTAGCCGTCTAGATTTAGAAATAATAGAGGAGGCATGTTCTTCAAAGTTTAGGCTTCCTGTGTAATTAATTCCTAAATCGTGTACTGATTCGAGTGTTTGGACTCTACATTCATTTAAGTGAAGTCGCGGTTTATAGGGATGCTTTCCAAAGTGCATGATCCCGCACTTGTTGAGGTTAAATGGTAATTGCCATTTTTCACTCCATATAGTTAAGTTATTGAGGTCCTTTTGGATCTGGGATACACTTTCGCTTAGTGTCTCAGGCTTATAGCTGTATACTATTTTGAGATCATCAGCATATAAGTATGGTTTCCCAAATTCTATGGTGTTACATATATCGTTTATATACATAAGAAACAAAAGTGGACCTAATACGCTTCCCTGGATGACTCCACTGGTGATTGGTCTAGGGGACGAGAGACAGTCATTGTACTTTACCATCTGTTTACGTTCTGTTAAGAACGAAGCAAACCATGAGTACAGTGGGTTGTGTATTCCGAAGGACTTTAGTTTGACGAGTAGCCTTTTGTGTGGGACCTTATCAAAGGCTTTCTTAAAGTCTAGGAATAGGACTGATACAAGGAGTCCGCTGTCTCGTTTCAGAGTTATATCATTCAGGTAGTCTACTAGGCATGTATCGCATGATCTGGACCTAAGAAATCCATGCTGGGAGGTCGAGATGAGATTATTAGTTAGTAGATGTTGGACTACAGCCGCCTTAACTACTTTTTCCATCACTCTGGATACCACTGAAGTTATGTTTATAGGCCGGTAATTTTCAACGTTTGCTTCAGGTCCTGTTTTAATTTTGGGAATGATATGTGTAGTTTTCCAGGCAGTAGGGTAACACGCTGAAGAGAGTGATATCGCGAATAGTTTGAGAAGCAAAACACACATATCATCACCTCCACGTTTTAGCATGCTAGATGGGATACCATCTGGTCCATCAGTGTAGGAGTGTTTCAATGTACTGATTGCCTTGGAGATATTTTGTACACTGAATTCTACATTAGTAATTTCACAGGGAGTTACTGGGATTGGTTCTGAATCATTAAATGGTTTTTCGTTAGTTAGTGAGAAACAAAAATGTTCACTAAATAATTCTGTGATAAGTTTGGGATCTTCGTATACTTGTTTGCCTTTAATGAATATACTCCCTCTCGATTTAGAGCGTTTAAGTTTATTTTGGAGTAGTATGGTGAGTGCAGAGGAGTTATTATTAAGTTCAACTGCACGTTTTTCCTGTGCTACTGCTTTTTGTTTACTTATTGCCTCTGTTCGGACAAGTATTTCTGTCATCGTTACTAAAGAGGAAAAGTCATTTAAGTTGTGGAATCGAGTACAATGTCTTTGAAGACGTCTTCTTGTACTGACCGGTATATAGAGATCTTTGGAGAACGTAGGTTTACAGTATTCTAAAGGTGCGATGTTGTTGATGATACTTTTGATGTTGTGATAAAATATATTGGTTAATGTGTCGGTATTGTTTGAGGTAAAGAAAGTTCTCCAATCAGTGCTTCTTAGGTAATTGTGGAAGTTATTCCAATCAACCTTGCGATAGTTTCTACGAAGTGTTACGGTTTTACTTCTATCGGTTGTGGTTTTTACATTAAGGCTGCATATGACAATGTTGTGATCACTACCTGGGAACTTTTTTCCAATATACAAAGTATTGGGGATGAGGCCACTGGTAAAGACTAAGTCTAAGATGTTTTGATGTCTGGTAGGGCTATCGACATACTGAGTCCATTGTCCGAGCTCTAGACATTCAATAAATGATTCATAACGTCTCGGCGCTTTGACTGGCAGCCAAGAAATTTCGGGCATATTGAAGTCACCACAAATGAGCTTGCCTGTGAATGAGAGGGATGATGCTAGTGTGAATACCTCCGATAATACTGCTATTTCATCTATTGATGCGTTAGGTTGACGATAAACACAGCCGAGCAGTAAGGTAACGGAATTCGACGGCTTTAATACAATCCACACCGAATCCTTCAGTTTGTTTAGTTCAGGCATATCACATAGCAGTGAGTTTAGGCTAGAGTGAGCGTAAATAAGGCATCCTCCGCCTCGTCCATTCAATCTATCGCTTCTATATAGGGAATAGTTATCAAGAGATATACTTCGGTCGGAAATATTACTGTTAGTCCATGCTTCAGATATCATAATAACTGATGGTTGATATATGGATACAAACAGGGCTAAATCCGTCTTTTTGTTGCAGATCGATCGAGCGTTGATAAGACATATATTAAGCAGGTGGCCTACTAAGTTAAAATGGGTGAGGGTATCTCGGATAAAATCGTCGTAACCCTCGCGCGTATGAGATGAGTTTGATGTGAGGGATTGGATGTTCTTCATTAGCTCGGTATTTTGATAGCTAGACTTATTGGGAGATGTATCAAATGAGCTAGTGAAGTTGATTGGGGAGTTTACCCAGGAGGAAAGGGTGGGAGTACTCTGTGATGGAAACTGTACGGAGGAAACAAATTTATGGTTTGCATGTGGTTTGAAATAACCTGGGCTATATGCTTCAACAGAGGTGTCACTAGGGGTCTTATTCCAAAAAAATCTTGTACAGGCCTACTGTGAAGTGTATGGTTATTTACAAAATAGTCTTGATGGTTAGACTCGTAGCCCCTGTTATGGCTATTTAGGTTAGCGTGAGAGGGGTCTGCTACGCGTAACTGGGAGGAGTTGCGACTGCTGTTATACATGGGAGCCGTTGTTATGTGATGGGTCGGTACTAAAGGGTGTGAGAAGTTTTCTTTCTGAGAGTAATTACAGTTGCGATCCTGGGGAATGTAGGTAGGGTGTGGAGTGAGAAACCTATTATTACCATTCTTATTCATGGTTTTAGGCTTCAGGGGGTGATTTGGGTGGCCAGTTCTCTGGTAGTTTTCGTTAGTCTGCGTGTAAGAAGGCTTGCTACGTTGAAGCCCACCACCCTTTTTGCAACTTGGAGGTGTTGAAGGCAAGTTATACGATAGCAGCGGGGAGAACCTGTTCACTGTTCTTGGGATACCTATAGAGCAGTTGGGTTCAATCTTACGTGTTTCCCTATTCGGTATCATGAGTTTTGTCTTCCCACCCTTTATTTTCAGAGCTGGAGTCTTTCGTTGTCTCTGTGAGATGAACTTACGTTCATTCAAGTCTACTTGTGGAATATCTTTAGGAGGACAAATTTTCAAGTGTATAGGTTTAGTTGGATGTGTGTTGTTACACGACTCACATTTTAGTACATTACTGAACGAACAGCTGGGATTAGTCATGTCGTTATGGTTTTTGGTGTCAGTTGGGGTCCGTATCTTATCCAAAGGTTTCTGATCTGTAGACTCATCTAGATCAACAGAGTGATCAGCCGTATGTGGAGTGGTGTCATGCTTATTGTTCGTGTGTTTTAAACTATTTGCTGTGTTGCAAACTGTCTCTGGCTGATTATTAACTGTAACACTCCCATTCAATTCTATCGCTTCGCGTCTTCTTACACGACGTTGACAGGGCGTAAGGTCCGGAGTGACTTTGCAGTTAACGTTCGGCACACCGCATGCTCTAAGGCGAATACCCCTTAGCTTAGATGGGTGTGTGCGGTCGGGGAGGTTATACATAACTGCATTGAAGGAGGACATTACTCTCTTCGTCACTTCTTCAGCCACAAACTCCAAAATACACTCAGCTTTAGTGAGTTGCTCAAGATTTCTGTCTGTGTCAAGGCCCCATATATGAGTGTGGGATGCTAATTGCTGAAGTTTGCCATTGATTCCGGATAGAGAGTTTTGTAGCTGTCGGATGTCACTACTATATCTATCAGTGTTTTGGTGTGTATGAGGTGGACCATTGGACTCTTTAGTATTTGAAAATTTAGATTTAGGCCTTGGTAGCACATACTGTCTAGTAGACTGTGCTGCCTTTTCGATACACGTAGGTATAGTGTCTTGTATGTCAACCAGTCTTACCGTTGGCATACTGCACGTAGAGATAGAGGGGCTGCGACATGGAGAATCTGGTGACGATAGAGACATTTGTGTACAATACACATATTTTTCAGTAGTTAAAGGTTCGACCTTGTCAAGCACTGAGTCGTCAGTTGT